GGAAGTATTGTAAATGATAATGATATGGTCTATTAGTTTGGAAGTATTGTAAATGATATGGTCTATTAGTTTGGAAGTATTGTAAATGATATGGTCTATTAGTTTGGAAGTATTGTAAATGATAATGATATGGTCTATTAGTTTGGAAGTATTGTAAATGATAATGATATGGTCTATTAGTTTGGAAGTATTGTATATGATAATGATATGGTCTATTAGTTTGGAAGTATTGTAAATGATAATGATATGGTCTATTAGTTTGGAAGTATTGTAAATGATAATGATATGGTCTATTAGTTTGGAAGTATTGTATATGATAATGATATGGTCTATTGGTTTGGAAGTATTGTAAATGATAATGATATGGTCTATTAGTTTGGAAGTATTGTATATGATAATGATATGGTCTATTAGTTTGGAAGTATTGTAAATGATAATGATATGGTCTATTAGTTTGGAAGTATTGTAAATGATAATGATATGGTCTATTAGTTTGGAAGTATTGTATATGATAATGATATGGTCTATTAGTTTGGAAGTATTGTATATGATAATGATATGGTCTATTAGTTTGGAAGTATTATAAAAGATAATGATATGGTTTATTAGTTTGTAATGTTTGAAATATATCATATATTAGAACACTCATGCTCACTTTTGTTATTAAAAATCAACATATATATACATTCTATCATGCTCAATTCAGTTAAAAATCATGTTGTACACCTTAAGGTTAGCTGAAAGAACCTTTTATTCAGGTAGACAGAAATCTAAGCTATCTAGAAAATTCTACATAGCAAATGATTAATTTTATCTTAAAAAGGTTATTGTACAACTTTGGACTAAATCATGCCAGAATGCAGAGTTATGTACCTTGAGGCCGTCTATCAATTTGATTATAAGCACAGCGACTACGACATTCGACTTGAGAATCAAATCTATTTCTGTTGCCATCACAACCACCATAATAAAATCTTTGACAACGCCTACTTTCAGCATTGTAATACCAGTGTATGGTCCAATTACCACACATC